AATGATGTACTTATGATGGATCCTAAGAAAGTTCAAACTATTATAGACTGGAAGATCCCAAAAACGATAAGAGATGTCTAATGTTTTTTGGGATTTGCCAACTACTATCGGATCTTCATTAAAGACTTCTCTCGAGTTGCAGCTCCACTTATACGTTTGACTTGTAAAGATAAACTCCAATGGAATCAAGAAGCGAAAGTTACTTTTGAATCTTTGAAGACAGCGTTTGTTTTTGCACCAATCTTGTATCGTGTTGATTTTTTCAAAGCATTCTTTATAGAAACAGATGCATCAGACTTTGCTCTCGGTGCGATTTTATCACAAATGGGAACAAATGACAAACTTCATCCAGTAGCCTTTCATTCAAGAAAATTCTTAGCAGCAAAAATCAATTATGAGATCCACAACAAAGAACTTCTTGCAATTGTGGATTCTTTTCAAGAATGGCGTCATTATCTAGAAGGCGCTTCCAGTCAAGTCACCATGTATATGGATTTTTAAGAACCTCGAATATTTTATGTCAACACGCATATTAAATCGTCGCCAAGCTCGTTGGAGCATGTCTTTATCAAGATTCGAGTTCATCATCACTTATCGGCTAGAAAAACAACAAGGTTTGTCTAATGCCTTGTCTAGACGTTCTTATCTTGCACCAAAAGAAGGAGATGCACCTTTTGAATAACAAAGAATGGTTCTCTTGAAGTCGGAGCAATTTCATCTTCGAGCAATAAAATCAACATTGACTATTGATTTAACTTTTCTTAAGACAAGTCCAGTTAAGTATGTCTTTAGACCCTCTTGTTCATGGTATCAAGAATAATTCTTCTAAATCTCATGATCCCTCTAAATTTGAATTCAAAAACAACCTACTCTATTTTGAAGGACGCCTATATATTCCAGAAGGAGAAGCACATTTATGTGTTCTTCAAGCTTGTCACGACTTCCTAGCAGCAGGACATTTTGGGTATAATAAGACTTTGGAGTTGATATCTAGGGATTTTTGGTAGCCTTAAATATGGAAGGCAGTTAAAGACTTTGTACAATCATGTGATGTTTGCTCAAGATCAAAAACTCCTCGTCATCGATCTTTTGGACTTCTTCAGCCATTACCCATTCCAAAACAACCATGGTCTTCTGTTTCTATGGACTTCATCACGGATCTTCAAATCTCAGGTTCTTATGACTCTATATTCGTAATAGTAGATCATTTTACCAAAATGGCACATTTTGTACCATGTACAAAATCTATCACAGGTGAAGAAATAGCTAAACTCTTTTTTGACAATATCTATCGCTATCATGGATTATCCAAGGATATTATATCAGATAGGAGAACTCAATTTGTATCAAGATTTTGGCGGACTCTTTTCAAGATTCTTAAAGTGGATATAAAACTTTCTTTGGCATTCCATCGTCAAACTGATGGACAAACGGAGCGTGTTAATCAAGTTTTGGAGCAATATTTAAGATGTACCATTAACTACCAACAAGATGATTGGACAACTCTTTTGCCATTGGCAGATTTTGCTTATAATAACACAGTACATTCTTCTACAAAATAAACACCTTTCTTTGCTAATTATGGTTATCATCCATGACTTGATACTTTTGACTTTTCAAAAGTTGATAATCCTGCTGCAAAAGATTTAGGAATTCATTTATCAAAGCTACATGCAACGATGAAGGCGCAGTTAAAAGAGGCTCAAGAACAACAAAAGGTCAATGTGGATGTCTATCGAAAGAAACAACCATCATTCGTCTTGGGTGATAAGGTATGGCTACTTTGTCGTAATATCAAGACCACTCGTCCTTGTGACAAGTTGGACTATCGAAAGCTGGGACCATTTTCTATTTTTCCACAAATCAATCCAGTTGCATATCGTTTATATCTACCAGAGTCAATGAAAATCCATCCAGTATTCCACGTGTCTCTTCTTGAACCATACAAGACAATGGACATACCAAGAAGACGACAAGCTCCACCTCCTCCTATAGAAGTGGACAATAATAAAGAGTTTGAAGTAGAAGAAGTCTTAGATTCAAGGTGGTGCCGAAATAAATTAGAATATCTTATCCATTAACACGGATATGATATTAGTGAATACTCATGGGAGCCAATAAAGAATCTTGCAAATGCAGCAAAGGCGGTGGATGCTTTTCATCGATGACATCCATCAAAATCAAGATGAAAACCTTCTTTATAAAAGAAACAACATCTAGGCAAGATAACATTCTACTTTCAATTCTTGTTCATAGCTTCTTTTTAGTAGTGACGCTCAGGAGATAGAGAACCAACAACCAGTGGATTTGACTCAAGAGCTTTCATTTGCTGACCTACCAGACGAGATATTACGATTGTTACAACCTTCAAGACGATGGAATTGAGATGAAGATCTTCAAGAACGACATGTTCTTCCTCGAATAGATGGCGAGATACAACGCGTTTGGTATCACGATTTGGGAAGGGACTCTCGATGTTTGGTGATTGTACTAGAGGTAGGAACAACTCCTGATGGTGTTCCAAATATTCTATTCAAAGGAAGTTACGAAGGCCTCAACAATGATCAAATAATTGGGTGGTCTTCCCGCCCTAGTATAGGACACTACTGATGGTTGAGAGGCCCTATCAATCATCTTCGAAGAGAACAAAGATCAGAATATGTTGTGAATATAATTCGTCGCATCATAGATTTCCTCAACATATGATGACCGCTCCTCATGGAACTCGTCCCTAGAAGGGGGGATAATGTCACGGACATAATCATGTAAGCTAGTAATTACATATACAAATAGATAGAAGTAAGTAAAAGTAGGTAAAAATAAGTTAATTCTATAGTATTTAATATGGAAGCTTCTTAGAAGCTTCATAGACGCTGCTTTGACTTCATAGGTGTCTTTAATTGACTTTTTGGATTAGAAACGTGGTCAAAAAGTTGGCCATGTGCCACACATGTTGTTAGCTTGAAGATCAAGCTAACTTTATGGCCCACATGTAGAAAAACTTGCCTTGTAAGTCAAGGCATGTGTTCTACAAAGTCAACACATATTGGAGGTCCTATAGAATGTCGCCACATAGCCCCTAGTTAGATAGTATATATAGAGACAAGAGTGAAGGCTTCTTCACTTTTGTCAACTCCTTTTTTGCTTCCAGTCTAGTTTCAAGGATCTCTAGTTTCTTTGTCTTTTGGCAATAGCCATTCCAGTTTCTCTTTCAATATACATACTTATTTATTTATATTTTGTTACCTTTCTTTGAGTGAAGGCTCACTTGTCTGAATTATTTTTCATCGAGTTCTTGTCCTTGACACATTATTAAGAAGCATGAAGATATAATAACTAATATTATGTATTTTATGGTTGAAAAATCAAATTTATATGAAAAAAAGAAATTTGGCTATTCAATCCTTTATTTTATATTAATAATAAAAATCAAACTTACCATTGATCTTGTATTGGAATATTATTATCAATATTGCACTCTAGATAAATAATATACAAAGACTCTACTTATTGGCAAAATTTATAATTAAGCGATAATTCTATGTAAGTCTTATTATTTTTATTTCTTTAAATTTAATATTACTTAATGATAGAATTAAATGCTTTCAATAAAAAAATCTATATTTAACTTTTTTGAAGATATTATAAGATTAATAATAGAATATTATTCATAATAAATTAGATTTTAAAAAATTAATAGCTATTATATGAAAGTAGATTTTAGATTATATTTTTTATAAACTACAAAAGTCAACTAATTAAAAAATATATTTTTTAAAAAAATTGAGATTAAAAATAATTTAATATTAGAACTTGGTTTATGAAACTTAGTCATCCTACATGGCAACCTGTTAACTAAATTTTCTTAGAATGCTTAAGATAATAGCTTATTCTACACCTTCAACTAAGCAAAATTCATCCCTTGTCTTTTGTTCCACCATTTCTTAGCTAGTATTAGATTTATTAACTTTGTATTTATATAGCTAGAGGCAATGTTTGTTTGTAAGAGTAACCTTTATTGTCATAGAAGTAGTCATCACAAAATAAGTAGATGAAATATAGTTTTGAAATTTAATAAAGGTACAAAAATAAGAGTTTTAAAAAAAAATCAATTGCTTGGTGAATTACTTCATTAAATGATTATCTAATTCAATATTTTTTATTAATATAAAATATTTTTATGTAAATAATTTCTTGCAACCAATTTTATACATATAAATAATATTGATTGTAGTTATAAGTTAACAACAATATAAACCATAAAAAATATTTGTACAAAAATAAGTCAATTATGTAAAATATCTAATTTTTTAATTTTTTTAAAAAATGGATATACAAATATTATGAAGAGAATCATACATGTGAATAATTTAGCTACAAAAAAATGTATTACAACTTAATTAGAAAGTTTTAGGTGATGACCAAATAAAAAAACTAATTTGGTTTTGTTTATTAAAATGCAATTGCATTTGTAAAAACAGACACAACAAAAACAACAACAAACAAAACAAAACAACAACAAAAAAAAAAAAATTCAAATAAATATGAATTTTTTTTGAAGACATGGAAGAAGATATGGATGGCTTACAAAATAATTTGAAAAAGATTTAAAAATTAGATGACAAGGTAAAATCCTATGCAAAAATATTATCAAAGTAGTTAGATTTAAGGGGCCAATTTGTTGCCCTAGAATAGAGGATTTCAGAAACTTAGGGTGCTTGTTCTACTTTAAATATAAATATGGTCAATTTGTTACAAAAGAAAAAGCAAAAAAACAGTCATTTTGAGTGCAGTTTACAGGACTTTCCCATCTAGCATTACTGAATAGTGCCAAACTGGGTGTGGTGGTCAGTGAATCGTACAAGAGTATTTTAAACGCAGGGTGTACAGTCGGAAAGCATTGACCATTGTTTGGCAACACGTACAGTTGAAACACATACTCAGCGGCTGCGAGAGTTCGAGGACTTAAAGAAAAGCATGAACTTGCTCTTGAAAATACATTTGCTGTGAATCTGTGGGTGCCTGACCCCAAAATACCCACTTCTGAAATATATGTAAAATTCAATTCCACTGCTACTCTACTGCAAAATACTATATTCCTTCTATCCATGGGTATTCATTTGCTTCTTTGTGATTCTAGCGATGGATCGATCAAGTGATAAACTACTGGGCTGCCACCTTCTATAGTTACATAAATGAATCTCTGTATGCCTATGTACAATTATGACCATCCTGAGCATGCCGTTCCAGCACATGGTGCACCGCGATTATGTCCTATATAAACTGACTCATAATATTTCATGGGCTCCAAATAGACAAAATACACCTCGCCTTCAACAAGGATTCCTATCATGTTTAGCATCCTGTTTTTACATGATGTCTAGAGTCCTTTCTCTGCTGCTGTGTCTCGTTTAAACTTGCAATTTGCACACAGAAACGGACCCTCCCAGGACTTTCCGGCTACTTGGGCGAAGAAGTTTCCAGCGTGTACCGAAATTCCTGCACCGGATTCCAATGTGCAGTGACAAGTTGCACACAGGAACAGGCCACTTCCAGCGTGGACCGACGAATCTGGCCCCAACCTGGTTTACAGAAAAAACTAGTTCAGATGCGGTCCATGCTTGTGTAATGGTAACATAAGAGGAATATACGTCTTCTATAGCTCAAGAAATGTGGATACAATTTTCAATTGGTGAGTTCCAATGAGTTCCATGATCTGTTTGTTCACCTTTCAGCCAGAGCTGGAGAGTTTTCATCAAAGATCTCCTCCATTATGTGGACATCGTCACCGATATGTGCTTCTTTGACTGATCCGCAACGCAACAACTTCATAAAGCTAGATTGCTGCTTCATTGCTGGAGCAAAAGGTACTTCAGAATTGCGTGGGACAATATCAACTACCAAACATGTCGTATCGTCTCTTAGTCCACGGGCCCGTATTGCTTCCTGACAAACAACAAGCTCACTACTTCCTCAGTATCTGCAAAACATTGGTTGCTAGCAGTAAACACTTCTACAAACTGGTAAATAATATATTACATTCAAGAAAGCATTTCTAACCTTTATGGTTATATTAATAGATTCACCCCTCCTTTGAAACCATTCAGAAGTTCCAATGTGGTGCTTTTGCAGAATCCGATGACACAATAATAAACGTTTCCCTTGAAAGAATCAGAAAAAGTTTGCGAGTGCAGTTCGCTAACGTTCAAGAATATTTAGTGAGAGCAGTCACAGAGATTAAACCATCGGTTTCGTAAAGTAGGTGAAATCTCTATACTGATTACGTGCGAGTGTTCTCTCTTAAAGCTCATGCATGTCTAGTACTCAATTTGCAAAACTAAGAACAAGCTCACATACACTCACACTCACCTTCACCACATGTTTGGCAGCAATTTCTGGTTGCAGCACCCCTCGACAGCATCTGGCTGCCTTCCTCGAACTAATGGCGTCCCAAACTCCATCCGAAGCAATAATGAGCCTTCCTCCAGCAGGTGAAAGCTGGAGTGTAACCCTACCCCTCGTAAGCTTTGGAAGCAAATTTGTTTCCATAGTCCATAAAAGATTGTCCCAGAATTCGCAGAAACATAGCAGGCGTCTGTAGTTCTTGCCATGGCTGTGTTCTCATACTCAGCAGCATGCAGATGAAAAGGAAACAAAATGGAAAAATAAGGTTCGTGCTACCTTAATTTGTTTAACGTGAGGCACAGCCACGATGTAATCTCCCACATCCATGTCGCCAATCGACCTCGAGAGGCAAAGACCACCTGGCCAAACCCTAAGTGGGCCAACCTCGATTTCTCCATCATAAATTTTAATCCTTCCAATTTCTCCTCCACTTGCTCTAATGCGCTCTTGCCTGTAAGCACATCATGCACATACTTAGAACGAAACGTAAAAAAATTTTGCAGTTTGCAGATTCACCAAACTTGTCGCAACGGTTCCCACAATCCACACGAGATTGCATGTGATTCGGTCGGTCAGTGTAAAGATAGACATTGACGGGAGCTAGCTTACTCTTCCTCATTAGAATCGAGCCTGTGATCGATTGTTAGGGGCGTCGCTACTCCTTGAGCATCTAGAACACACCGTGAATCTCCAACACATGCTGCGGTGACGGTCCATCCATCCACGATTACTAATGTGGCGGTTGTGCCTGATGTTTGACCTGAAACAATCAAGTAGCAATGTCTCAGGTTTCCAAAACTTCAAGGTAACAAATATCAATAGAAATAGCTATCAATGATAATGTAAGCATGGGCCTTGAAGGATGGCTTTCGAGGATTCAGATAAACAGCACCGAATTTCTGCCAGTCCTTGTCCGTCTTCACGAACCCTGCGACCATGGCCCGCGGTAGAAATGCCAACCACTCGTCTCTGGTGAGATTTTGCGGCATGAAACTCATGACATCCTTGAGAAGATGGTCCCTCGAGTATATGGCTGATGCGGGTCCATTGTGACCGTCGAAAACCTGCCAGAAAACCCAAAACTCTTGTTTCAGTAAAATTTCGGTTATTGAGCAACCTGATTAAGTAGAAAATTGTAGTTCAGAAAAGAAGGCGACTCACCATAAACGCTCCGAATTTGGTTGATGAATCACCAGGAACTCTCTCGCAATTCGTCACTGCTAAAGCGAAGTCTTCTTCTTTCTTGTACTGCATGTGCTTGCCATAAGCCAACAGAGGGATATCTTCTTCTTTGGGCTGAAGCTCTTGGAAACTTGGTAAACTCAAGGAGATGAATTGCTGCGAAATCTTGTCTCCAACAATGTTGATTCCGTTGGGGGGGATACCCATCGTAGGGTGCACACTTACGGCGGACATGGTAAATTTCGGTCGAATTCAACTCTTTGATCAAATGTAAGCGGCGAGTTTACGCGAACTCGGGTGACTAAAAAATCCCTGCAGTTTGGAGAGATTTAGAGACTGCAAAAACCTTGAGTGATTAATATAAAGAGAATGGTAATTAGATTCTCTCACAAACCAAACAATCCAGTTTTTCCTTCATGACTACCTAGTGCCATACGCCTTCAAGCTCCAATATGTACAATTATTCTCTTGTTCACCTCATTCCTCATTTAACGGTTGAAGGTCTACAACTAGGAGGGTTTGAACACTGCAAGAGTGTGCGTTTTCAAATAAGACAATCAGGGTTAACTACGCCCTCTGTGCATGACACTCCTAAACAGACGCATTGGGGGCTGACCAGCCCCTGCAATATCATAAGAGAAACTGCATATTTGACGTCAATAATACTCTATTTTTCGTGCGCTTGACACTTGAACAGTGAACAGAAGTTTTCGAGGGGTTTGTAACAAAAAAGTCCACGAGTTTCGTGAAGCTCTCTTTCATGAGACGATTCAGCTCAGCTGCTGCCTAATTCTTCCAAAAAAGGCAGTAGACCCCTGGAAACACGAGTCTGGTAGGCCACAGCAACGACCTCCAAACATAAAAAAAACCTTCTAGTCACTGAGATGGAGACTTCGAAATCTTCATATCAAACCTGGGAGTTGCGAACGGGAGCTCGCTGTTCATAATATACAAAAATCCCAATGTCGAAAGCACTACGTTGTAACGTCAACTCACTACGTTGTAACGTCAACAGTTGCGGCTCTCCTCTACTTCACTACCAACCACTTAGAACTTTACAACGTTCTTCCGAGCCTCGGTTGCATCGTACCAAGATGATTGCGAGATTTTCCAGTGCGATTCAAGGAGACAAGTATGATGTGCTAGCCAACAGTTTATCAATGGCTCTGTGTAAAAAGGTAAACGTCGAAAGGAATCCCTGGCCTCAGTCAAAGGGGATAACACACCAACAAAATGCCTTTTCTTCCTATCATCTAAACAGGACCGACTTGATCAGCAAGCTCAAGCAGAAACGACCAAAAATACCCAAAGATGTCGACCCAAAATCACCCAAATTCCTTTTCATTTGCAATCACCTTCAACGCACTCCGCCAACTTCTCTCTGACAACCAAAAGCCAATCACCAAAACCGTCCAATTCGCAACCAGAATCCACGTGCTCGGGCACACATCATTCAAAACCAGTTGCCAAGACCAATCCAGCAGCTCTCCCACCAGACCCCAACGCGCTTGGTACAGAAACAGTCCCAGTGGAAGAAAACTCGTATATATACTCACCCAACCTACCCACAATGCCAAGTTAAGAACCTCCGAGACGAGGAAAAAAACACAAGCCGCAGGAGCAAAAGCAAAGGTTTCGTCCCGATCGAGTGAGCGAGAGAGCGTCGCGGGCAGCAAGTAGCGAAGGAAACTGATGGTGAGGCAGTGACGACGAGGGCTCTCTTGGCAGCTGCCAGAGAGCAACGTCGACTGGCGGCCGCATACACGGCGACAGGGTCAGCATCCGGCGAATTCTTGCTTCTGCTCCGTGTCGCCTACTTGAGGAGGTTAGCTGTTATGCGACCTCAAGCGAGTGAAAGCGAGAGAGGATTCATTCAAGAAAATCAAGAAGTCAGCGCTGCGAAAATGGACCCACTGCACACAACGCGCGCTTCCCGGCGCTCGCAGTCCAATCGACGAGCATCCGGTCCCACGAACACGGATACAACCCACACCACGTCTTCAACAATCCCAGTTCAATGCCACACATTCCCATCTTGGCGTCGATCGGTAGCTCGACGTCTCCGGATTCTGCTCTAGTGAATCAGCAGCAGCAATTGCGAGCCTTCCGATCGACGCCAAGATCCTAAACATTCTGGGGCTCCGGGCCGCGGCATCGGAGAATCTCTCTAATCCTATCTCTCGCTCCCTTTATCATCGTGGCTTCGAACTGTATCTTTTTTAGTTCTCTCGCACAATAATTCATGCGGTTTCACGTGACATTCGGTCTGTTTTTACGCGGATCGTCGATCGGTGCCCGGATTCTATTTATACCGAAGTCGGTTGCTGAACATCGACGAAGCTTCCACGAAGATTCCAAAAGTACTTTAAAAGTATTTTAAAAAGTAATGAACTCATGGTTACTGGTGTTGCGTGGTGTCAAAGAATGGGAGTAGGTGGGAAGATGTTTATTGTTTATACAATACGTGAGGTTTGATTTTTTACCCATGAATTGGTTTTATTTATGGTTGGGTTTTCTTTTATGATATTTTGGAGTTTCCAAGAATTACGGTTTTGAAAAGAGATCATTGCTTGGATTTGGTATTTGTTGCTTCAATGAGAAGAGATTCAAAGTTTTCTTTTCTTTTTTTTTTTTTTTTTTGAAGAGAATGGACTCTTCTTTCTTATTTAGATGGAAGTTGTACTCTCTAATTATTTTACACGTGGGGTATAATCGTGTTATTTTTAACATTGCTTGAGAAATTTATGAAGGTTCGTTTTTCCTCCTTTAATGCCCTCATTTTCTTAGAAAATGTTTTTAGGGAATCAATTCTTTTCTTTTATAAAAGAAATCGGTATTTCTCTAATTATTTTTACTTTTATGTTATGCTCCTGCTATTTATACCATTACTTGTAGATTTCCTAAGGTTCATTTTTTTCTTTTGAGATATCCTATTTTTAAATACAGCATGATTCCGAATTTTGCCCAAGATGATGAGAAGAGTTTTTAAAACTTAAAATTAAATAATTAATATTGGTTTAATGTATAGGATTGCAGATACAACAAAACTCAAGAAAAATGAATTTTAGAGATACTGTAATTATGGAAAATAACATGTGGATTTTTACATTTAAGAAATTTAAAAATTAAACTGAACCAATTTTTTTTACTCTAAAATGAATTTACTAAAGATAAATCTCATCTTTCAATAAATAGACGTGTTTTTTCTTTAAATTCAATCAAATAATATTCCTTACAATCAAATAAAACAAAGGAGATCATTTAAAAATTAAATAGTATATTTTTGTACTCTATGTTTTCAATAATATTCTCTAAATCTATAAAGAATTATTTTATTTGTCATTAAAGTGTAAAGTACACAATAGAAAGATATTTCTACAATTGCTTTAACTTTTTGTATATTGACTACTATTCTCATATATCAAATAAGCCATACTAGGAAAATATTTTTTTGGCTTTAAATATAACAAGGAATTAATACAAAGATATCAAGGTATCAGCATCAAAAGATATTTTTACAAAGAAATGAAAAGACAATTGCCTTTTCATATCTTAATATATATATTTTTGGATTTTTTTAGATTTTTTTTATATATTTTATATATCTTATTTTTAAAAATAAATAAATAAAATATTTATAATTTATATATTTTAAGTACATATAAAATTAATTATAAATTTTAATTAAGATAATAGTAAAATTTAAAGTTGAAAATTGATAATAGATATTGCGACTTTAGAGCGAATTGTGAAATACAAGAAAATTTTAACAGAGACATTAGCAAATGATATAGACCAAGTAATTAGAAGTACAATTAAAAAACTTGGAAGAAAAATTTTAAATACAAGTAGATTTTAATCAAGAAAATCACAAACTTTTTAGATCAAATCACCGATAATCCAATTGCAAGCTTCAAAATAAATTATAAAATACAAAGAAGAATTTCATTACTTTATATTATTTTAACATTGTAGCTACGATTACTCGATCTCTTTTTTTTAGCTTATTTTTTATTATAATATCAAATATTTACTTATATTGTAAATTGCACATCTTCCACTGATGTGGCTTACAAATTATTTTTTCAAAACCAAATTTTTGCCTTTACTTCATATTATTTAATGCAGTATTAAGAAAGATATTTTTATATAAAAAATTTTAGAATCAAATTTGAAGTTCTTGTAGTGAATTTGAAATGTCTTATAAATATAGTTGATAGTAAAGATTATATTATAGTATTAGGTAAGCTTGGATTTGTAACAAAAAAGAAAAAAAGAAAAATTAATTAAATTTTAAATCATTATATTAAATAGTCAAGTAAATAATTTGTGACATAGGCTTAAAGATTTAACTTGATGTTGCATTAATAAATTCAAAAGATTATTGTGTTTTCTAATAATATAGTAAAAAAGATTGTCTATAAGTAGAACTATCAAGGATATGAATCTTGAAGAAAGAGATCTTTAATATACTCTTATGTCACTCAAAAGAACTAAAAAGTCACTCAAAGGTGATATGGTATTAAACTTGAATGACTAGTATCGAAGATAAGAAGACTAGAAAGTCTTCAAACAAGACTAAAGTCTAGAAAAAGCATTGTCGTGTTAAAACATGACTATATGGTGAAAGATGATAATATGGATCTTATTATTGAAGAGCCAAGTTAAAAGAAAAAGTAGAAAAATATGAATAAAAGATAGGAAGGTAGTAAAACTTTTAGTAGTAATGCTGCCTTTTTAGAAAAAATAGCTTCTACTTACTTTGTAGGGCCAAAAATAAGGCAAAATAAGGTAGATTGAAAAAATAAATGATATAGATATCTTTAGGAAGAAATTGAGAGTAAATTCTAGTAAAAATTACTTAGAAAAATTAGATGTTGATACCCGGAGAGGACCGGTTATGAACCAAGGTCAAAATCAGACCCTGAGGCACAAAACCGAATCTCGATGACAACTCCGGGACTCTTTTGTAGATTGGAGAGTAGAATTTGATAGAAGATTGGGTAAGGTATCTATGAACATTGATTTTGGATGATTTGAATCTGTATTGATTTTGTAAGAGCTTTGCAAAGTCAAGGTTTGTTTTGGATGACTTGGATTTTATGAAATAAAATAGGATTTATGTTTTGAGTGATTTCAAGAGTTTTGTAACAGACCTATAGGTGAAATTTTGTGGATTAATGGTTATATTTGTATTCAATATGTGTTGTAAATTTGAGCGTGATCTAATAGTTGAATTGAGGGTTGTTGAGGTTTAAGTGAGTCAAGGTCTCAGAAAGTAGAATTTTAGGTCTAGTGAGGGTTTTTAAGATTTCTTGCAATCTACTAGTTGGATCAGAGTGAAATTTGTGTGAGAGAATATCAGACTTGTTTTTCTATGTTTATGAGAATTTTAAAATCAATCGAATGGTGAAAAGGAGAGATATTGGCTTTGGAAGATTGGCATCAAGGTTGGAGAAGGAAGCTGACCAATACCCGAGCACGTTTTTGAGGTTATCGTCTATTTGGTAATTCCGATCCTTTTCAAAATTTTGTGATTGTTTTCAACTTAGTTTTTAAGAAGTGTGCAAAATTTTAATTAAGATCAATGGTTCATTCATTAATTATTGAGGTTTTAATCTGTTGTGAAAATTACTAGGGTTTGATTAGGATTTGGTTTAGGGTTTAGAGTTTGGTTAGGATTTGATTTAGGATTTGGTTGGAGTTTGATTTAAGATTTGGTTTAGAATTGGAGTTTGATTTAAGATTTGGTTTAGAATTTGGTTAGGATTTGGTTTAGGATTTAGACTTTGGTTAGGATTTTATTTAGGATTTAGGATTTGATTTAGGATTTAGTTAGGATTTAGGATTTAGTTTAGGATTTAATTTAGGGTTTATTTAGGATTTGGTTTAGAATTTAGGATTTGGTTTAAGACTTAGAATTTGGTTAGGATTTGGTTTAAGGTTTAGAGTTTGGTTTGGATTTGATTTAGGGTTTGGTTAGGATTTGGTTTAGGATTTAGGATTTGTTTTAAGGTTTAGAGTTTGATTTAGAGTTTAAGGTTTAATTAGGATTTGATTTAGGATTTAGGATTTTATTAGGATTTATTTAGGATTTAAGATTTAATTATTTTTGGTCTAAAATTTGAATGAAGTCCAATAGTATTTTAACTAGGATTAAATTAAGATTGAATGGAGATATATTTGAGATATATTTGTGATCATTATAATATTTCTTTAAGATTTCTTTGAATTTGATTAAAGCTTGCTTAATATTATTATGGTCTAATTAGAATTTAGTTAGTATTCTATTAGAGTTAGGATTTTGTTGTTATAATTTCCATTCTATCTTCTTTATCCAAGTGCCTAGAGCATTCTCAAGCAAGACTTCACGTATTATAACAGCGTTGACAAGAGTAAAGAAGGCTTCATTCTTGCCGCCATATATACTCTTAGTTATGAGTTATATGGCAATGTCCAATGGGACCTCTAAAACGTATCAACTTTACAAGACATGAATCTTAACTTATAAGGCAAGTTTTTTATATATACGCCACATAGTTAGCTTTTTCAACAAGCTACCAGTATGTGATTAACTTATTATTCAAGTTTCTAATCTACTAATCAATTACAAATACATGTAAAGTCAAAGTAATATCTATGAAGCTTTTAGGAAGCATCTCTAGAAAATGAATGAAATAAATTTACTTTTACATACTTCTATTTAATCATATAAGTAAATATTAGAATAATTATATATTTCTATGATATAACTTACTTTTTAAAAGACAAGTTGCACAAGGAGCAACCTTTATATCTTAAAAAAATCCAAAATATAACAAAT